AATTTTCTAGAAACATTTTTGTAAACAAGTCTATCATTGGTTTCATGTAGAAACTAAAGAATGAATCCAAGTCAATAATAGCCATGGTTTACTTTTCAACACTGTATTAAAAAAACAGATTTGTCAGTCTACATCCAAAACATTTCAGAATTAGAACATGAAAATGTTGATGCCAAACAAGCTCCGTTACACTATTTCATTACACATGTATATGATCCTCCAGATCTTTTCGCAAAGCACGGTTATGAGGCATTGCAGTGCGACAAAATTGTAGGAGCAGTAATACAAGGGCAGAAATAAGTGCTGATCAGCATGAATTAAAACCCAATGCAGTCAGCTGGACACTATATAAAAGAGGGTCCAAGGTCAATAGCTTCTTTGCATTGTGCCAGTGCAGAGTCACATTAACTTAAACAAGCATTTTTTGTCTTTCGATCTTGTCCCTCTTTTCTTTCCTGGTTGGGCAAAGACAACATAAAACAGGACCAACTGGAAAACAAAAAACAAAAATATAAAAATAAATCCACGACTGCAACACACGTGTTCCATATTTCATTACATCAGCATTCCTAAAAAGAAAAATCAGAAAGATACGCTGTGAGGAGCTAGCCTCCTGGCCTCAAGTTCGTATATTGTTTAATTTCCCCCTTTGAGAACACATATATCACATTAAGGACATACAATGAAGAAACATAGTGCTATCAGCACTCTTGTTCGCATTTATCCATTCATCTTGAACTACTCCATTTAGATAGAAAATTCCCGACTAATTGACAAAATCTATAGCATAAACATAGCCCATCTACATTTTCAAACTACCCACTTGGTCATGTATCAACAATTCCCACCTCAGATGTACAAAATATCAAGCTTCACAAGCTCTTAACCTAGAATTCAAAATTAGCCAATACATCCCAAATGCCAAATGCCTAAGTTTCACTAATAAAACAGAATATCTAGTCCATTAAATTTATCTTTATAATTCCAGGGCTAATTCAAATCACTAAACCTGTTCAAAAACCTAAAATACTAATTAATTTCACCTCTTCCACTAACGATCCAAGCTCTTTCTGTTGTTATGCACATAAATTTACTAATTAGACATTAAAAGGCACATAAGCAAACACACTTACACACAGTTAAATATATGTATCGATGCATATACATAGATAATTTAGCAGCTACAATTCTAAAACATAAGTTTCATCAATGGCTAAAAGTTGCAAAATTTAGAAGGAGACCTACCAGGAAGAGGTGGATCGTGAGTGAAACTCCGACAGATTTCTCGGAATGATGCGTCTAAATTCCCAAGAGTTTCGATTGGGTGCTCTCTCTTATGAGCCCATCGAAGAATCTTTCTGTCTCTTACCAGACAGTTCCTCCGAAGACAGAGAATACTTTATGGTACGTTTCGGACGTAGGATGGAACGAAGGAAGCAAGGGAAAGGGAAAGGGAAGGCGAAAGGAATAAAAGGTATATTTTTTTAACGTTTGGAATTGGATAAAAAATGAAAGAAAAGAAAAAATATACATGCCTAATTTATAATTCTACCATTAAATATATTAAATAAATTTTTTATTACAAATCAATTCAATTAATTTAAAAAAACTTTTAATCTCCTTATTTTTTTTACGAATTGATTTTGCTTTGAATGATTTGTAACTATTAATTAAAAATAATAATATAAAAAAATTTAAATATTGGTGCATTTTCTTCGATAAAAAAATGAATATACAAAACTAAAAATAATATTTAAATTTTAAAATCATAACATTAAAAAAAGAGTGGTGAGTTTCAAGTGGTTGATATCATCAAAAATAAAATAGGCATAGAATACTGTGCACAATAAGGATGGACAAAAAGACATAATAATAATTTAGCTTAAACTTTAATCAAGATTCTCTTCTTCTCTTTCACTTTTCCACCCAAAATTGAAAGAAAAAAAATGGCATAGTGGATTAAACTTTCTTCCTATTTTCCTTTACACTGTATTTCCCTTCCATACCATGAAAACCTTTCCATCCCCTCCATTTTTTCTCCTCTGTTTTCGTCCACACTTCTTCCATCGTACCAAACATACGATAGGGTTGAATGAGAAAATAATAAGGATAAATTACATTGACACCCCCTAACATTTAATTTTATCACATGGACACCCATTCACATTTCAAAATTTACACTGAGATCCCAAATTTCGTCAAATAATAGATGTCATTAACAAAAGTAATAAAATGACAATCATACCCTCCGTTCTGAGGTCAAAAAAAAAAACTCAAGTGAACTAAATTACAAATCAGGCCTTAATTAAATGAATTTAACACTTAATTCAAATTAAACTTAACACCTAATTAAAATTAAACCTTATAATTTTATCACTAAATTCAATCTTATCACTTAAATTAATAATTTTAATTTATTTTGAATTAACAACAATCTTCATCAAATTTCAATGATTATACCAAATTTATCTTGCTAAAATTATGTGTAAACGCCACTACCACCACTTCCCCCCGGCATCTACCGCCCACAACCACCAACCCCTATTACCTTACCGCCACTCCCGTCACACCAGTTTCACCATCCCAACTCCTGAGACTCCCACCCCAGTAGTTCCCATCATCATAGCCACCATTGCCAAACCTCAAACCGAACTTACCTCCTCCAAGGCACAACCAACACACAGCAAAATCGATAACCCAACTCAGCTACCCACCCCTTTCAGTCATCAACATCACACTAGAGGGGTGACAAAGTTTAATTTTTCAAACCTAAGATCGATTTCATAAGTGTTCGATTTCTATAGAGCCTAATTTTTCAACTTTTTAGATATTTTTATTGATCTAGGTTCTTTAGATTTTTCAGATACGAGTTCACCAATGGTCCTAGAATGAGAGAGAGAGAGAGAGAGATTTTGGAATTTTCAGATCTAAGTTTCAACCACCACTTCCTACCACCAAATCTCCATTACCTATACCCTTTTTCACCATCTATTAGCCATGTCACTGACCTTAGGTGGAGGAGGGTGCAATGGGGGTAGGGGTGACGGAGGAGCAACAACGTAAGGGAGTTAGTGAGACTGGTGGTTGGGTGCAATGGAATGATCTGCGTGCTGGAAGAGAGAGGGGAATAGATGATTAGAGTTGGGTTTGATTTGTGTGGTGGTAATGACAAGGGATGGAGGAAGAAGATGATTAAAGTTAGGGTTGACGTTGGAGCTTTTGAGTGATCTAGAGGTTGGGATTTTTTTTTTAATTTATTTATTTTGACTTAATCAAATAGAGGGGTGAGTTGGATAAATTTAATATAGACATTAGTTAATCTTAATGATATACAAGGGTAAAACAGTCTTTTTAAGAAAATTGTTAACGTCTGTTAGACAAAATAGATGCGGCTATCACACGTATTCAAATATCAAGGGATCTTAGTATAATATTTAAAATGTGAGAGAGTGTTTGTATAATAAAGTTAAATGTTAGGGGTGTGAATGTAATTTTATCCAAATAATAATTAAATAAATTATAGTTGTTAAATTGTGACAATTACTTTGTTTATTACTTATCGTTTAAGTAACCCCGTCATTTTTCAACATGTCATCCTTTTACATACACTTTAGGTAATTAGATTCGGATTTATATCGTGTATAATTATATTTATATAAAACATTGGGTCCACAAAATATAAAGTTTATCTTATTTTGATCTATAATATTTCAATTACATCATTTTAGTTTTTAAATATTTCTATGTGGTCTCTCAAGCAGACGTAGGCAATATCTACTTCCAGATTGTTAACCCTTTTTTATTAAAAACTTGTCACGTAATATCTAAATATTAGAGGTAATTCGTGTCTAAAGATACGATACAACGTAAGTGAAAAGTGATGAATTCAAAAGATAGATGTGAATAATTTTGAGAGAAATATTGATAACTGCTTGATAAATCTGTGACAGTTGAATGCGTTTATTGAAGTCTACCATATTTTATATTATAATTATAAATATAAATAAGCAAAAAATAATAATTTGGATAGTTCTTGACCAAATTTTTATCCAATTTTTGGTCAAAGAGCTACTCAAATTATTTTTTTACCCAAATTTAAGTATTACGTAACAAATTTGCTGTAAAAAATCGTTAACAATTTAGATATTATCAACTTGAGAGATTACGTAAAAATATATTTAATATTTTAGTGATTAAAATAATACAATTAAAATATTAAAAACTAAAATAAAATAAATTTTATATTTTAGTGACCTTGAGTATAATTAATCCTATAAAAAAGATGAGTCTGATCAACCAAGTTGGTTATGATGTTAACATCTTAAGTCTTCCATATGTGACAATTATATTTTGTGTTAGATTAATGTGTAGGATTGTGATGCACATAATTAAGCATTTGGGAAGGGAATATTTCTCAAATCATTTCACCTAAAAAAATATATATATATATATATATATATATATATATATATGCGAGTTTAACTTGAGTTTTAAAAATTAGAATTCATACCGACGATTTTATAATTTGAATTAAGTTTGAGTCAATTGAAAGAAATATAAAAAAAAATTGAGTTCAAATTAATCTCTCAACTCACCTAATTTGTCCGAGGATTCCAAAACTAAAGGGTTGAGTAACTTTGAATTGAGCTTGACAATATCTCAATTTGTTTAAATCAAATAATTTTTTAATATTTTAAAAAATTAACTTAATTTTTTTTATAACAGGACAAATTATAAAATTAACGTTCTGAATTCAAATTTTAATAACACTTTAGTATTTGTCTATAAAAAATTTATCATTTATAAATATTTTAGTCTGAACATAAATGATATGCTTTTGATTAGACTGTAAACCCAGAAAGATTAGTCGATGTGTGTGTAAATTGGTTTATATATCCGTGTGTTGAAAAAAAAATCAATTTAGACCACAATAGTATTCATAATTGATTATTGAACTCGACTAAAATTCAAAAAAGTGTAAATTTATAGGATCCAATGAATATCATGGATCTCTCTCGTCTCTCCGGTCTCTAGTTCCTTCCCTCCGTAGCTCCACAGTTTCTTTGTTTAGTGACCCTGCGGCTGTGGGTGATCACAACACAAATTCCCAATGTCTTTCACTCCAAGAACACGCCCAAAATCAGAATCCCAAAACTCTAAACCCAAACCCCCAAAATCATCTTCTTCGATTTCATCACACAGTCTCTTAATAGAACCATCGCCGAGCTTCTTCCCATCAAAGGGCGAGCTCTCGAGGCTATTCGCGGTTGTTGCCATTGCGGCATCAGTAGCAATCACCTGCAACGTCTTCGTCAACTTTCTCAATCGCCAGCCAAAACCCTTCTGCGATAACGACGCAGGTTTCGACAATTCCTTATCCGGTAAGTCCTCTGATTCGTTAATTAATTTTTTTTTTTTTTGATTAACGACAACATATACAATTAAATTTGGTAACTGTTATGGGTATCGAGCAAAATTCTCCGAAGATGTTGGAAAATATGAAAAATGGGTAAGCAATGCACTGATTGAGCAGATATAATTAATTGTTCAAACTTCAAAACCCAAGCGTGAAGTCATGGCGTGTAACAGTGAGATCTTTTATTAACTGGAAGTTTGATGCGTATTTTCTTCATTGCCGAAGAAAGAGTATTCCAAGATTAAAATTGGTAAGCAATGTACTGAGTGAGCAGTTACGATAAGTTGGTCAAAACCTAACAGTTATAAGGTAGGGCATGTAAAAGTGAGACCACCATTATGTGGAAGTTTGATGCGTATTTTATTCACTCCTGAAAAAAGAGAAGCGGTAATAGAACTCTGCAGTTCGTCACCATTTGCATTTCCATGTCTAGTTATCAGTTCTTCATTATTGAGTCATATTGTAACCAAGGAAGATGCTTTAGTCTGTATGGATATACCACCATAAAAAAGAAAATAAAAACTTGTTTGGATGTACCCTTTCTAACCAATGACCACTGTTGCAGATTTATGTGAGCCTTGTCCAAGAAATGGAGTATGTCATGAAGGCAAATTGGAGTGTGCCCGTGGCTACAGAAAGCTTGGGAAGTTATGCGTAGAAGATGCAGATATCAATGAAACAGCTAAGAAACTTGTGCGTGATGACACTTGCTTGGTATTTCTGTCATGTAAGGGTGGAAACGCATTATCTAGCTATAAATCATGTGGATGATTTGCTGACGTGCAATTATTACATGATGCAACTGCAGTCAAAATTGGAAGTAAAAAAAGTCTGTGAAGCATATGCTCAATATTTGTGCGGTGGAACTGGCACTGTTTGGGTCTGTAAGCTTTGGAACCCTCTGAACTCCATAACATTATATTCTAGCTTTCTCTCTGTTTAATCTTAATCTGCTTGTGCTGGCAAATGTAATAGTGCTGAAGTTAATCTGTTATCAGTTTCTGTATTATAATTGCATTGTTTTTTTAGGTTCAGGAGGATGAAATGTGGAATGATTTAGATGATTCTAAGCTAATGGAGAATTATGGCTTGGATAGTGCGATATATGTGCATGCCAAGCAAAGAGCAATGGAGTCTGTTGATAAACTATTGGAGACGAGGAAAAATATAAATGGGTATGCTATAATTTATTTTCAGCTATTCAAATGTCAAAGTATGCGAATCTTTATTCTTTGGATCACTAATGGAATGACTTGAGCATTCTGCATGCTATTTCTTGTCCTTCCTGTATAGGAGCAAAGAGTTCAAGTGTCCAGAGTCATTAGTGGAACATTACAAACCAGTTACCTGTTACATCCGACAGTGGATTGCTGAGCATGCTTTAATTTTGGTGCCATTTACTGCATTGGTATTTGATAACCCAAAGCGGCCTTTCAAAGATTATGTTTTGGTATCAGCATGTTAAAGCTTCTTGACAATATTGAGATTTACAGCTTTTGGGATGCACATTGTTACTGTTAAGAATCCGACGAAGACATTATCTATCAGTTAGAGCTGAACAGCTTTACAACCAGGTACATATGCCCACCTTCTGTTTCCTTTTAGCATCCATGATTTGAATTAATTTTGGTGTTTGATTTTGTAGACTGCTTTAAACTTGGTATAGGCCACCTTCTGATTTAAAATGTAGGAGCCATCACCGTTTCATTCAATGACATCTTGGTCCACATGCCGACTTAGGGATCATTCGTCACCAGTTAATTGAAAAGGACATTAAGATTGATTAGTTTTGTGCTCCAAGTTAAAACACGTGTTGTTAGTTTTGGGTGTGTGTGCGTGTGCGTATGTACCTGTATGCTTTTTAATAGATCTTTTTTCATTATTGTAATTATGAGGCATGGCACACAAATGTGGCTCTTGGCTTCAGAAGAGAGTGGTTTTTTGAGAATAATTGGAAAGAAACCCCCAGTTATGACTTAAATCTGGTCCACTACACATGTCTCACACCCAATTTGAAAATTGTCTATTTTTTTAGTCGCATGTTATGACGTTGGTCAAGTTGATTGCAACACAAAATGTGGCTTATTGGCCAATCTAGTGAGTAAAAAAGGAAAATGGTTGGTTCTCCATACCTTTCAACAAGGGTGGTTGTATATTTGAAGCTAGAAAGTGGGATGTAGGTGCCTTATGGGTGATAGACGTTTTTCCCTTTGGGCTTCGACTGCAACAGGATATGCCTTTTTATTTTCTTAGTATTGAATATTGATTGGATAGTTGCATGTAACTAGTAGATTTTTCACGTTTTACAGGGTTGTATTGTTTATTTCTTTGATGTATTTTTCCTCTTTTTGGATCATCGTAGGGTGGATTTCTTGTAAACCTTTTTTTAATCAATGAAAGTTTTGTTTCCTACCAAAAAGAGATAGACCTTTTACCTCGAATTCCTTGATGTTTCAGTTCTTGGGTTCAATTGATTCTTGTCTGTAACTTGGCTAATGACTTTTTGCCTTCTCTTCCTTGACTACGGGGATTTCTTCTTCATTCTAGGTGAAAAGAAATCGTTTTAAATTTGTCATATGTGTTGATAAGACTTGCTGAATGTCACAATATAATAGCCTGAAATTGTGCAAATGCCGAATGTGCTAGGTATGCGATATCCTTGAAGAGAAGGCCTTGACGTCAAAAGGTGTAAATGTTGAGCAAGAAGCATGGGTAGTTGCCTCATGGTTGCGAGATCATCTTCTTTCACCCAGAGAAAGAAAGCACCCATTGTTATGGAAAATGGTATTCTTATATATTCTGAAATCTCTTTTTTAAGAAAAGAATAATTTTTTTTTTTTTTGGGGGGAGGGATTCCTGTCAGTTATTCTTGATATTCATGATACTTGTGGTATTTTTAAGTAAAATATATTGCAGGAAGTACTAGTTCTATAGTTAAAATTCGGCCCAATAACCTTGAGGTTCTCGGTTTGAACCGAGGGCAACCACTTTGTGCAAGTAGTGCTAGAGTTAGATTTCCCTCCTAGACCCCATTACACTAAATTGTGTTATTTGTTAATTTTTTAAGTAAAATGTGCTTAAAATGGTGTTCGTAGGGTTGTTGTTAAACTTACATGTAACAAAAATGTTTTTGTCAGGCTAATATATATTGTGGTTAGTGTTCCCAACTTTGTTGGAAAGGGATTGAGCATAGCAGTTTTCTGTTGTGAATAGTCATACTTTACACTTTTAACCATGTGCCAAGCTAGGAACCAGCCAAATGATCTCATCATCTCCCTCTGAGAGTCATCAGCCTAAAATGTTCAGTGCAGGTGCAAAGGGAACTCGGATGCCTCATTTTGATCTTGCACTTACCTCCTAATGCTTATAAAGATGGAGTTCCTGTACTTTGTTTCATGATGCGATATTTCTCTAGAAATTCTTCTAGGGTGCATATAGTACACGTGTGCCCTAACACACATCCAGTTGTTTTTCATCAAGAGGAAAAGTCCCATTCCTGTCCAAAACTCCAAGCTTGAATATCGTTGAAACCAAGGAAATATGTGGTTCATGGAAATCAACCAAAATTTTGTTGTTTTTCTTCTTCTCAAAATTTATAATATCAGCTGTGTATTTTTTTTCAAGTTTTTCATGTTGACAACCTTCAAGAGGCTCCCCAACATCACCATAAGAATATTCGGTCTCCTCACTAAGTTCATTACTTTTCACTTTAATTTTCTGATCCAACAAAGTATTTGAAAACTCCACACTAACCTTATTTTGATATGAGACTCAAGTCGCTGAATAATTATTATAACGTGAAAAAGATTGCCTCACTGATTGATATGCATCATACGTGTATCCTTCATCTTCTTGATAATATTAAGGTGCAAATCTTTCTTTTAACAATCGCTTCATCTTTTGCCAATAATGAACTTTAGATTTCTGTTGACTTGCATGTAACAATTTCACATGTTGTCACCAATCATAAGTTTGACTCTTTAATTTATATGTTACTGGCCCCACTTTCTTCTCTGGAATTTCATGATAATCAAAGAATTTTTTAACTTTGGCTAACCAATTTAGAAAATGTTCTTTATGAACGCAACCATCAAAACTTGGTAGGTTAACTTTCATAAATAAATATCTAGAATTATAATCACGTCTTCGATAATACCTAGCATAATCATAGCTATCAAACATACCTGTATAATACTTGTCATCATCAACAGAATTTGCAATAGGTACGAAATAGATAGCTATCAAACATACCTGCATAATACTTATCATCATCAACAAGATTTGCAATAGTTATGGAATAGACAGAAAGACGATCTTGAAAGGGTTGAACACGAATCCTATCGCCGTTTTGTACTCGCTCTCGATCAAGATACTGGTTTGGACCCAATGCCCACTGACCAACCATAGCCTGCAGTTCTTGCAAGGCATGCTGGTAATCTGCTGTTGTTGTTGACGAATCAAGAATTTGGCTCTCAGAAGAACCCTTTTCACATAATCACCGTCACGGGGAAAGTTGTCCCACTTCGCTGATCATGCTAAGTCAAACAAGACTCTGATACCAATTGATGCAGCGGTAAACGGAATACAAAGAGATCACCGTCAGTGTATAGAATAAAGGTACTCTAAATCCACAGAGTAAAGAACAAGAGAATATCTCTAAAAAATGTATATTATTCAATCAACTAAGTAGAATTGTAGTACATTGGGCAATTTATAGGAGTCCCCAAAACCCTAAGCCTTAACCAAAACAGAGACAAATCCCTAACTTTAAAAAAGTTACCTAAAACAATAAAACATATGTCTAATGAATTAGGAAAATGGTCAAGGTTTTAGGCAGCTCTAGAATATTCCTAACCAAACCCTTATTCCAACAAAATAATAAAAATAAAAATATAGAAATATAGAAATCCATACTTCTTGTTCTATATCACTTTGTCTATTGTTTCAATAGACATGCTTAAACTGAATAAAAAATTGTTGTAGTTAAATCATGGTGGTTTTAATTAATCTGTTGAGTTTTAGGAAGCTTGGTTGCTCATTATGAGGATATCAATCATATGATCTCTCCTGTTTGGTCCTCTTTTAATTTTTATCTAAAGGTGTGTGTTGCAACACCAGTTGTTTAAGTGTTTATGATAATTACCCTGTTCTTTTTGTAGGTTGAGGATTTGGTTCAGCAAGATTCTCGTTTAGATCGGTTCCCAAAGATGGTGAAGGGTGAGTCTAAGGTGGTCTGGGAATGGCAAGGTATGACAGCGATGTTATGGGTTTTAGTTGTTAATTTAAGCCTCATTCCTAACCGAGCCAACCTTTCCTTCTCGTGATGGTCATAAGTCAGATAACAGTTTGGTCAATCAGGCTTTTCATTCAGATGTATATCTTGTCAGTAACCCATTGGGGGGCTGACTCAGATTTTAAGATGGTTTTTGGCTGTCAAAGTACGAGTATGCTTCTCCAAACTGCCATTAGGATACTGTCTTTTTAACTTGTTTCAAATTATTTACCCAAAAAAAAAAAAAAATTGTTTCAAGTTGTGCCTGTCACTGAGGATACGAGGTGGTGTGATACTGCAAACCCACACATCAAATTCCTGACATTTTGGAAGTCTTATAATTTTTTTAACCTTCTTTTTTCTTCGGGTCTCTTTTCTTTACCTTTGCAAGGGGGAGGGACATTTCTCTGTTTTAGCTCATTCAGTCATAAGTATGTGGTTACCCCTATATATCTTACATATCACTAAGATTGGGTACATGCTAAGGTTAAATAGCTTCAAATAGGATGAAATATTTTGCACGTGTAATAGAGAATATAACGTGGTTGTTCTTTAAGAATTTCATCTCATTCGTATGCAAAAGTTGAACTTGTACTGCACAAATATGTTGATCGGAAGCTAAAAACCATGTCTGATTTATCAATGGATTAGACGGCTTGTCCACGTTTGGTTGGATTGTGTACCACTTGTTTCAGATTTCTTACTTCTATTGTTAGTAAAAATTGTTGTTTGTTATCGGAAAAAAAAATGTCCCATTGTGCTTATAAGTCCTTTGTGTGGCACTTCAAATGATCATAATTTCCTATTCCTAGAAGAAACTAGTATCAAGCTATTAGATTTTCACTGCTCAATACCATATTGGTTATCACTGTTTTGTTCCCATTCTCTCTTTGACTCTCTCTCTCTCTCGCTCTCTAGTTGAAGGTTCTTTGAGCTCTTCAGGAAAGAGGAAGAAGCACGAGGAAAGCAAGCTGAAGTCAAGTGAAGGCACGAATGTATCTTCTAATCAACAACGCAGGCCATTGCAGTATGGTGAGCCTTGGAATTTTATATATTGTTTCGCGACGCTGTTATATGTTGCAAATTATTGGACATGTCTGCTTCCTTATTCTGTACATCTCATCTTTTGTTGGATTTGTTTGTCTCGTCTGGTTCAAGCACACTGGTATTTATGCCAACAAAGGTTTCTTGCAGAACTAAACGCATTCCCTAATTGACAGGATGCACATTAACAAGCTCAAAGAGTCCTCTTGTGGCCCAGAAGCTTAGATAAATTGGATCCAACAGTGGACACACTGTAAATTTTCCCACATTTGTTTTGAAGAGGTAATGATTGAGATGTATGTCCTTATGTATGGTTCAAAGTTTGTGTCTTGTGATAAAGAATCTGGAACTTGTATCAATAGGTTTTTGTCGATAACTTGTATTGGAATATTATCAACAGAAGTTGAAGACGGAGATCAGGTTGTTAGCGGTCCAAATTTTCATTTTTATTTTCTATTTACTTGGCAACCGAATGGAGTCTTATGGGAGGCTTGAAATCACATTACGTGCATCTCGATTAATTCATGTTAGGGTTAGGATATTCACCGAGGACTCAACAACATTTGGGGCTTAAAGCAATGACCAATGAGAATTTTTTTATTTTTCTTAATAAAATTTTAATTTAAAATCTATTATTTTTACTTTTTGATAAGATTGCTATTATTTTTTTTCTTCAAATTTTGTTAATATATTTTCTTGATAAATAATATGACTTTTGATCATAAATATTTATAGGAATAAAATTAATTTCTTCATTAATATTTTAATATTCTGTTTCTTTGTTTTATATGTTCTTTATCGAAAATGTGGTATTAAATGATTGACTTTATTATAAATAAATTCATTGTTATCTTTCTTTAGGATTATTTTATTATCTTTGAATTTTACTTATTTATCTACGTAACTTTCACCTAAATTTTTGGTATATTTTATTTATTACAAATAAAAACTTTATCAAAAAAAAAAAATTAATGAGAATAAATGATTTAATTGATGTTTTGCGTTCAAATAATAATAAAAAAAACAAGTTTAAGAGAAATAGATAATGTGTTTGGTTTAATTTTTTTTTTGGAGACAAAAATGAATTTTGGCAGCACTTTTTTTTGTTAATATTTTTTTATACTTTAATAAATGTGATTGTGTGACGTGGTCTGGACTTTTGGGTCCAAATTTTTAATTTTTTTTATTGGTTTATTCTTTAAAAAATTATTTTGTTTGACTATATTGTCGTAAATTTTATTTTTAACTTATATTATATTATTGATCTTTAAATTTGAGATTTTTTTTTTATGTGGGATTTAAAACCCACGCTTTTACTTTTATACTGTAGGGGTGCCCTGAGGATATTAGTGATGTATAAATTGAGGTTTGCTCGTGAGTACGTTCATAGATGCATCTTATGAAAATTTTGCACAACCCTGTAGATTAGCCTCCATTTGATGCCTAGTTTCTGGGGGGTGTTTAACGCCATGTTTGGTTATTATCTGGAAAACAATTTTTTGTTCTCAAAATTTTAAAAACACTCAAAATCTGTTTGTTTATTATTTTTGTTCTTAAATTTTGAAAAAAAAAAATGAGATTTGAGTCAAATAAACAGAAAACAGTGTAGTTTGTTTTCAAAGTTTTTTTTGAAAATTTTGGAAACAAGTAGAACTTTGAAAAATTTTGTTTAACAATGTCATACTCTTTATTAAAGGTAGGTATAGTTAAAGGGTTGTTGCATAAAGCCTCGATAAAGTTTATGTAAGAGAGTCGTCTTAATATCTCCATACTATGTTCTGGGATTTGCCCAACTATGACTTACCGGGAGTCTATCTCTTTCCCCAAAGTGATGGATCGAACTTCGATCATGTCTCGAGAGCATATTCAATTGGTTCTATCAGTCATTCTGCGAACTTGACAGTTATCATTTATTGGTCAATAAAAATGGGGTCAGTTTCACTCTTCTTTGGAGGTTGAAAGTCAAAGAGTCTCGTGCACTTGCTTATGAAACTCTTTCTTCAAAGAATCATCCTCAAGAATTACAACATTGGCTTCTTGCTCACTTCTTTAATGGAGCAACCAAACAAGTTTTTTATCTCAAAAAATATCAAAACCACTTTCTTAAAACTCTTTTAAAAAATTATTTTCGGATACTATTTTTTGAAACGCAAACCAAACATGCCCTAAATTTTCGATTAGCCACAATTTCTTGCTCTACTCGATCCTATCATATCTTACGGAGCTGTTAGCCACAAAAATCGAATAAGAATGCGGAAGAATTTTGGTCTTTTGATTAAATCGGGTAAAAATGCAGAATACTCATCAATTTCTGCATTCTTACCCTACCTTACTTGTAAAAAATATATTTATATTTTTTTTAGTAATTATAAGAGTATTTATGTGGTATAATTTATATTATAACATTGTTATTGTTGTAAATGTTTGAGTTGCGAAAATATGGACATGTTTTTTGTGTGTGTTACATAATTTGTGGTGAACTGGTAATCTATTGGAGCAGTTATGATTTTAATGTATTTCATATGATTTAAATTTAAAATAATTGTTATTGTATTTGTGTCACAATTATGATGGATTGATATTCATGTTTTTTTATATTTTATTGTAATTGTTGTTGTATTGTTGTATAGGTTTTAGTGTTATTGATTTATTGTGCTGTTAAATTGATGCATGTTATTTAATTAAATTGTTAAAATGATTCAAAAAATAATACCTACAAAAGTATTTACCCGATTTCTTATTCGACTTCTTACCCGATTAATTGGGTAGGGTAGGCCAAGAAAAAATTCTTTCACAAAGTATCGGATAAAAAGATGAAAGACTATATTTTCTACCCATAGGATAGGGTGAACACCCTACTAGTAGGGATGTTAATGGACCGAAACAGGGGCAGGGGGTATAGTTTTCATTCCCATACCCGTTTCAAAAACCTTTGTCCATCTCCGGTCCACCACTGTTAACAGTTATAATTTTCATTCTCATTCCCGTCCGCAGGTAAATTTATAATCCTCACCCCTGTCCCCGTTTTCCCCGTACCCACCCAAGCCCAAACATAAGCTCATGTCTAAGTTCAAGCCAACATAATCCAACATTTTAAATAATCTAATAACATTCTAAATAATCTAACACAATATAATGTAGCATAACATATGCAAACATAATACAAACAACAAATGTCCAAAATTCTACTTAAAATTGATATAATTTAACATTACACAACATAACACAAATAATATAATAGGTGGCAAAATCATCTCAACCATCTCTTAACACCAGTTTCGTGGAGGCCCTCGCTATTTGGTTTGGGTGGAGCGGAGGCATAGAGCCTAGAGGCGGGTGGCTAATACAATAAGTTAGGGTTAGGGTTTTTAACTCAGAGTGTATATATTTAACGAGTAACGGAAACAGGATGGGGTAAGGGTAAGTTCATTCCCGCACGAATTATACGGATATTCTCGTATGCATTCGTCATCCAATACATATAATTCAGTCTCAATCCAAACAAAATAAATTTAAACAAATATTTATTTTTTTCTAGTCCACTGTCGTCCACTAATGTCGAAGGAACTCGCAACTTTTTCTTGGTAAATCTCTAATTGGTGAACCACTTATCCTCTGCTTTAAAGGTGGTAGTGAAACGTGGCATGAGAAAGGGTTAATTCCTTGACTATGGCAGACTGGCTGTACAGGAACGAGGCCCACCATGCATGATAGATTGATGAGGATAAAATATTTGGGGATCAGGTCCACATGATGTACTGCCACTCGGTGCCAATAAATAGGAATTTATTATTAAAATATTGTCATTTTCAATTAAAAATATCAATTTATAGTATGTTTTTTAAATTATTCACCGATTTATGACAATTTTTTAGAGCAGAATTATTAATTCTATTTTTACCAAGAAAACGGAATCAACAAGAATGTTTTCAATGCTTATAAAACTGTCTTTTTCTTTTTTTTGTTGTATCACTTGTTGAAAGTAGAATTATTGACTCTGCTTACAACAATGAAAACAGAATCGGGTTGAAAGCGGAATTAATAATTTTACTTTTAAAAATTACAATAAATTAGTAAATAAGTTAAAAAGTGAGATGGATCAATATTTTTGTTTAAAAATATCAATAAAAATATCAATATTTTGGTAATAAATACGTCGTTGTTGCGTCTCTCTGGCAGAATTGATCTTCAAGTAATTCGAAACCATAACTATGTGATGGTAATGGGCTTCTCGTTGGTTCCATAAATTCAATGAAGTTGCATTTAATCGGTGGGGGTCAATTTTATCTTTCGGTAGTCCAAGACAGCTCCCCAAGGTTCAATACAATTGACTACTCGACCAATATACATCTCTTGTGTACTTAGAGATTGACAATTTGATTATGATTCGACGGTCTCAATTTTTTTTTTGTCACTATTTTGAACTTCTACAGGAACAAGACGGGACGGAACGGTAAAGTTCAAATTGACGATGTAATGGTCTACAATGGACTACGGTGACCATTAAATCAATTTCCAATCCTCAACATCCCTAATTTAAGTATTGAAGATATAGATCTGATAATTGTTTACAAAATCGACAACAAGTTGTTAAATATGAATTTATCTTTCAAGGGTGCACAGTATAATCGGATTAATGGCTCTGATTAGGTTAATAAATGAGTTTGTAGTATCTTTGTTAGACCTAATCACTCACAATTTTATACACAACTTAAATTCGACTTAGTATCACTGCTAATGCGGAGTACGAATTATACAAATTTTGTCATGACATGTAATAAAATTACAACTTATTAGTAGTCTTAATTTCACATGTGTTTTGCGGCTAAGGATCTCTTTCTCTAAAAGTTAGACATTAACGAAATTGTTATCATAATTAGTTAATTTTTCTTAATCAAATTTTTTTTTTTATTTATCGAATTATTATATTTTTTTCTAAAAGCGTGGGTTAACCTACTTTGTTGTAAAATTATTATGATTTCATGAATAAAATATAAAATATTAATTAAATTAAATAATAAATTAAGTATCAAATAATTAATACATATTTTAATTATTATTAAATTTAATTATTAATGTATTTTATAAGTTTTTGGTTACTTAATTTATTATTTATTTAGATATCTTTCTGACATTTTTTAAGCATTTGTAAATTTAATTATATTATAAATTTATTATATACAAAAAATATAATATAATACATATTTGATCGTAAAATTCAATCTAATAACCACATGTATATAATAACTTAATATATATATATAGTATTTTACCTTTTTATATAGATATAAAAAAATTATATGTAGATGTACTATTAATAATTGAGTTTAAAATAATTTAGAAATTTTTATAAAATATTTCAAAACAAGTTGAAAATCAAATAAGAATTAAAAAAATTAGATAAAAGTATGTAGGTGAGTATAATTGAGTTTATTATAGTAATTAGGAATTAAAATAAAAAAAAAAAAAATTCATAGATGCTACATTTATAAGTAATATATATTATATAGATATAGAGATATAGATTGACGATAAAAAAATAGAAAAATAAGATAAAATAATAAATTTTTTACATGTATTATTTTGAGATTAAAGTGAAAAAGAGAGGTATAATTTTATACCATATTTTCCACCACCGAAGTTTTCTATCGATTATAACTTTCATTGTTACTTTTTGACTTTTGATATATCATCAATTCAATATGATTAGATATGATAGCTGATGAGTCAAGCCCAAGGGCCCAACTCTGAGAGATCCAGCTAGTTAAGATCGAAAGAGTCTACATTCGGACAAACTCATCCAAGTCAAGGAGCTACATCAACGAGGGGCATGCAAGGGTCATCCAAGAGTTTCCTTTAATACATTGGAGTAAGGGAGCATCCAAGAGCCTCACCCTCGCAGTTTGGAGAGAATCAACCTTCCTCATCCTTGACTACGTTCTTTGGAGAGCATCATAACTTCCTTGCCGATTGAGGAGAGAAGAGGTCAAGGAGAAGAAAGTCGCCAAGATAATTAATTACTAATAAATGGCCTCAATTATGACCGTTAGACTAGCTATTCAATTACTACGCAAGTGACTATAAATTGCAAGCTTCCCCAACACTTGGGGCCATCTCATAAAAATCCAGCTCATCTCCTTTCTCTCTTGTAATTCCGGCTCTCTCAACGCACCGAAGTTAATAAATTTTTTGGCAAACCTAACCATTGAAAGTGAACGTAGGTCTCATTGGTCGAACCACTATAAACATTGTTTCATCTTTCCCTCTATTTTACTGTATTTTATATTATTTAATTGATAAATGATGTACAAATTAATTTTGTGCAACATCATTAGCTAAGGTACATTGCCCACTAAAAGAGAATGTGTACATCATATGATATATATATGTGTGTGTGTGTGTTAGTTTTCTATAATAATTGGTGATATTTGCGGCCAACTTGATAATTGAAACTTTTCGAGAAGATATTTAACAAAAAAAAAATTGACATGTGTACATGATACACACAAGTTTCTTTCTCTAAAAGTTCTAACTATAATTATTAATTGGACTAAAATGGTAAATATCAAAAGTTGAAGCATGAAATTGATAAAAATAAAAAAAGAGAGAATCAAATAAAACTTTAGGGGTAAAATCATAACTAACCCTGGTTTTAAATTATACTTTTCTCCCAAACAGTAGTGCTTATAGATAAGCAATAAGTTATTAATCGCAGTCCAAGTCAATTAACGCGCACTTGGTCCAATTCCTCATAGTTTAATCCCAAGTAAATTGTTAAGTTTTAAACTCAAAATGTTTAGTAAAATACACTTTTAGTCTCAAAAGTATGTGTGTAGTATCTATTTGATCTCTAATTTTATAATTATGTCTATTTGATCTATAAACTTCTTAATTTGTATCTATATAACCTAATTCCAAACTTCCATAAAAAAATAGTTAATGCTTTTGATCATGTGTCAATTATGTGGGATAAAATAGACACAAATTATGAATTTTAAGGACCAAATAGACACAAAATTAAGAACCATGTAATTAGTGGGTGACCTAAATTGTCACGATTTTTTGATGAACATTTGGGATTAGACCATGTAGATACAAATTAACAATTTTAGAAGTTAATTTCTTAATTTGACAAGAAGTACCGTTAATCTTTGACCTCAAAAAAGTAAAGCTTTTATAAGACAAGAAGTACTATTACACTAATGACCATTAATTTTGTTAATGCCAAATAAACACTAAATGATTATTTTTTAGACTAAAAGTGTATTTTACCCTCTCTATTTTGGGGATATAAATAATCATCACCTTTAAGAAATGTCACAAAAGCCCCAATAGTAATAGAGCCTTGATCGGTGGATCTGATTCTCAGATTCCTTGCCGACACTAAAGGTAGGCCAAGGGGCTCATCTAAGCTCACACTATTGGGCTCTTAATGAGATTGAAAGATTAGTTGACAATGCTCTTCATTGTCAACTAATCTTCAAATCAAAAATACAAAGACAACTCACTTTGCTAGTTAGAGTTGTGTGCTTAGAATTGCTTTGATGGAGCTATTTCTTGTTTGTGTTCGGTGTCCGCCATAGCACACAGACTCTACTCACCCATTATTAAACTATTTTAATAACTTGATGAGATTATTTCACTATAAATTTATAGACTTACTTATTTTTTAATTGATTTAAAGAGTTACCATTGACGGTTTGGTGATTGAGGCTTCAAAGTCCAAAGCCGAGTCTTTCACCAAGAGATGACAAATTTTCATCTTTATTTCCAATGTTCAATTACCTATATTAATTAAATTTCACGTAACATGGTGCATGGTCGGTGATTATAAAAAATCAACCAAGCTAGGTACAGCGAGTACTATTGAATACTATTTTTTTTTTTTGGGTACTCCCGAGAGCAGAGGTGGAACATTCACCTACTCTCAGTTTACGGCTCTAATTAATCAGTCATAACTCGAAAAGGAAAAGAAGTAACAAACAAGAGTCCATTCCGGTCTGTCTCTTCTTTCTTTACCCATCAAGGAATAACTTAAATCTTAGTCTATAGTTACCTACAGCAGTCCTACTAGGTTACTACTTACTACTACAATCACACACTTTCATACCCAGTTCACGAAAATTTCTCCCTCCCCCTTTTTCTCTGTCTCTTTAGCGCTTCAATCCATCATTTATAGCAGAGAGTGGGAGGTTTATTGCTTGGAGCTTTAACTTTCAGATCAGCTGTACTCACAAAATTGTATTTGCAGAGTTCTCTTTTATCTGGTAATGAGTTAACTATATGGGTCTTTTCTGATTGTGTATAGTTCATGGCAATTCATCTCCGTCTTTGTAAACCCATTTGCTATTTTTTTGTCTTTTTGACTCTCTTCATCGCTTATATTGTCAGTGAATCAAGATCTATCATCTATGTATGGTATGAAAGCTTCGTGCTTAAGTGGATGTAGTGGATATGACATTCTTTGTTGTTTTTCAACCTTAATTGAATCCAACTTGAAAAGATCATTTTTTTAAAGTAAGTTTAAGTTCAGTGTTGAGGTTGTGAATTTGATCTGGAGCAGCTTTATGATAATGAAACCAACCAGCAGAAAGCATTAACGCTGCAAAGACCAATGCACAAATTATGGTACAATAGAGTTGTAATTGACAGTTATGGTGTGGATTACATATAATATGGAGTGAAAAAATGGGTCATTGAACACTGATCCACAATACGTCAAACACAACTCAACAAAGCCTTGTCTCAACTATTTGGGTCAGTTCTCTATTTCAAGTTACGTTATCTTTTTGTAACTATTTCGTCCAAAGTTAATTTCAGGCTACCGCTATCTCTTGTACTACATAGACAGGTACCACTATTAGGTTTTCTATACACATGTCCACTGATCCACAATATAAAGAAAGTGCAAAATTATAGATGCTCAATTCTCCTTTAGTATAACTGTGTTTCAGTTCCATTCTTACCTATTTCTGATTGATTGTTCATGTGCTAGTTATTCTAAATCTTCACATTTCGATTACTGCATCAATGACATTGTATTGATGTATGTCCCAACCGTGATCTAAAAACCTCTACATTGTTTTAGTGACTTGCCAAGTGCTTGAGCTTATAAATATCAGATGAATAATGACTTCTCTTCTTTTTCTAACTCTTTCAATCAATCATCAAACTTTTAAACCCACACACACATGTTTGGGAAAAGGTGCACTTTGATCTTCCTAAGGCGAAGATGTAGGAAAGGCACAAAGCAGTACCCCATGTTAATGGCTCAACAGGTGTAGAATTCACCTATCTGTTTGACTGTGTGTTCTTTCTTGAAAACGTTAACGAAACTATTAACTCCCACAGTTTCTGCTTTACATCCATGTTTCCTATATGCTTATTGATATTTGATAGGCAAAAATTCATTGCTTTCTAACTCCTCTTTTAATTGAAGTGAGCTCAGGGTGTCATCCAAGTCTAATATGGGCTCTAAGCACAACTCATCTGGCAACAGACGGAGTCCAGTTTCCATATTCATAGTTCTTGGTTTGTGCTGTTTCTTCTACTTACTTGGAGCGTGGCAAAAGAGTGGTTTTGGAAAGGGAGATAGTATAGCCTTGGAAATTACCAAGCGGACGGACTGCAATGTCTTTTCTTCTTTAGACTTTGAAAGTCATCATAATTTTGTGCCTACTGTTAACTCTTCTGAGCCAAAAGCCGAAATGTTTGAGCCATGTGATGTTCGATACACTGACTATACTCCTTGCCAAGAACAGGAACGTGCTATGACCTTTCCCAGGGAAAATATGATATACAGAGAAAGGCATTGTCCACCTGAGGAGGAAAAGTTACATTGTCTTATTCCAGCACCCAAAGGATATATGACACCATTTCCATGGCCAAAAGGCCGTGACTATGTTCACTATGCTAATGTTCCTCATAAAAGCTTAACAGTTGAGAAGGCTGTGCAGAACTGGGTACAGTTTCAGGGTAATGTCTTCAAATTTCCTGGTGGTGGAACAATGTTCCCTCAAGGTGCAGATGCATATATTGATGAACTTGCATCTGTGATTCCAATCGCAGATGGCTCTGTCAGAACAGCGCTGGATACTGGTTGTGGAGTATGTTTTTCCTTGCTTTCTTATTTTTTTCCAAAAACTTTCCAACTAGGGCTGTATTTTTATCATTGCGTATCTTTGATTGCATATCCGATGCTTATGGAGAACTTTATATACGTTTTCTCAATTTGCATAACTGCATTCACTAAATATCCAAACTTTTCTTCTACTTCAGTTGTTTTTCAGCTAATAGGTGTATAACACAACCTAAGTTTTATAGATTTGAAAATTTTCTAGCCGGTTTACAGGTGCCCTAAATGATGCAATTACAAAAATCAAATTAATCAAGAAATGAACCTAATTTTTTCTAAGAGAACATGGATTCTTCTCGTAATTGTACTTATGCGAAAAATGCTGCTCTTGGACATGCCTTCTGCAAGTTTGTGCCTAAACGAGGGCAAAAACCACTGCTTCAGAGTTTACATCGACACCATCTCATATGAAAAAGAATCAACCCTCCTCTTTGCTCTTAAGATATGGCCTATAATTGTTTCTGCACCATTACTAGATTGCAGATTTTGATTTAAATGTCTAAATAAGCATCACAACTAAGTACTCAGGTTCACCTAACAAGACAGTTTGTGGCCAGGGACCTTCATAATGGGGCTCAAATTCATCATTATTGAAATTTAACCTGGGTGTAACACCATTGTTTGAATTCTACTACTTTACTGAGTAATAGCAAGGTTCGACTTAAAACGGACAAGAGGAATTATTTGTAAGAGGATATCCAGGGATAGGAATCGCTTGTTTCGGATTGGTAATGATCCTTTTGGTGACTTTTATGTTGTATTTTTCACAAGCTGATGGCTTTTCTTGGTCGGTTAGTGGACTGATTACACCAATCATGGTACAGGTTGCAAGTTGGGGTGCTTACTTGCTGACGAGAAACGTGCTAGCTATGTCATTTGCACCAAAGGACAATCATGAAGCACAAGTGCAGTTTGCATTGGAGCGAGGTGTGCCAGCTGTTATTGGTGTTCTTGGAACAATACGTCTTCCATACCCATCAAGAGCATTTGACATGGCCCAGTGTTCTCGATGTCTGATACCATGGACTGCAAATGGTAAGTTGTACAAACAGAATTAAAGTTGTCAAACATTGTTTTTATTTTGTATTTTCCCTTTTTCTTTGGTACGACATTGTGTATTGTCTTTGTCTTGCAATTGTGTGATCTGAACTAAACATGTTTAAGAAGGTGTTCTACAATATGAAGTTTCTCTGGAGGTTTGTTCACTGACTGAGATTGTTCAACAGATAATGTTTGCTCTCTTCAATTTTAGGATCCTGTTTTAAATAAATGTTGAGTGAGTGAGAATATGAACCTTATTGAGGAGAAATTTTGTACAACGTAAGTTGATGTCCTATAAACAAACTTAAATGTGTAGATGGGATGTACTTAATGGAAGTTGATCGAGTTCTTAGACCTGGTGGATTCTGGATCCTTTCTGGACCTCCAATTAACTGGAATACCTACTACAAGACATGGAAACGATCTAAGGAGGAGCTCAAGGCAGAGCAAAGTAAAATTGAAGAGCTGGCTGAGCTTCTTTGCTGGGAGAAGAAGTACGAGAAAGGAGATATTGCCATCTGGAGAAAAAAAGTGAATGCCGAATCCTGCCAAAGAAAGCCTGACAGGATTTGTGAATCTAGTAAGGCTGATGATGTCTGGTGAGTTACTATGCAGCCCGTTTTGATTTAACTTCCTTGTAGAATATGCGCTATGGGTTCCTTGAAGAAAGTTTGGTAGTGTTAAAGTACAAATACTGAAGTTACACCCTCTTCAACATTGTAAGCTTTTGGAGTAAATAGTTGTTTAATATGGTATTAGAACAAGAAGTACTGTGATTGAATCTCGCCACCCTAATTATTAAACTATTTTCAGGTGCTAGACCCAAAATCTAACCGGCGCGAGGGGTATGTTGAAGTATAAATACTTCAATTATACGCTCTCCAACAATTTAAGCTTTTTGGAGTAGATGGTTGTTTAACAGTTAGGTTTCTTGAATTAGGCGCAATGCCGTCCAGCAATATTTTGTCATAAATGGATTCATTGTTTTGCTTCTATGATTCAGAACCAATCATTTCTGCCAGAAGTAGTTGAACATAACAAGAAGCATGACTTTACGAGCTGCTGCACGGAATAACGCATTAGTAGGAAATTCTAGGGCCTCAGTAGGATACTTTGTTTCTAAGCTTGTGGGCACATGCTTATGCCTGGAAAAACTCATTCCATTGACTCTGTTTTGATGTATGTTTTGATATGTATCCAAGTATATATCACCTCATGTTTTGATATGTATCCAAGTATATATCACCTCATTGTGTCTGTTTTTGGTGAAATATTGCTCTTTGGAGAATTTTTGTTCATATTTGACTATTTGAAATAGACAATTACCATGTGGACATATGTTTGATCACATTAGATCATGCAGAAAGAGAAGAATACTCAATACTCATTTTATTTTCTACAAAGATGATGTGTTAAATATTTTAAAATGTATGGCACGTGGTAAACCATTAAGCATTTCACTTTGGGTTTGTGGTAACATTAAATTAGAACCCATGATAATTCAACCAGTCCCTCATCTGTCAATGCTGATATGCAAGACCTAGTATTCAATAATTATTTTTGTTGTGCTGAATGCTTTCTGGTAGAGCATCCAACCCAAAACCAATTGGCAATGGATGGGAGTGACTCCTCAAGTATATAAGCCAAACTTGGTGGTCCTAATTATTCGATATGGGATACAAACTCTCTTAACACTTCCTGTTGGCTTTTCACAAATTTAGATTTCTATTGTCACATTTCCAGGAGTTGTATGAATTCCTTAATGAAGATGCTGGATTGGATTAGACATATAACTACTCTGGTATAAGATAAGAAGCTGCTATGAACTTGTGTTAGTTTGCATCATTACTATGAGTTTTGGCTCTTTCAGCTTATAAAGTTTATTTGCTTTCTGATATTTCTTTGCTTATCTCACTAAATGTGGATTGTAGGTACAAGAAAATGGACGCGTGCATAACTCCCTTACCTGAGGTTGCGAGTGCCAATGAAGTAGCAGGTGGGGAATTGATGAAGTTTCCAGAGAGGCTATTCGCAATTCCTCCCCGAGTAGCTAAGGAACTTGTTCCAGGGGTCACTGTTGAATCTTACCAAGAGGACAATAAATTATGGAAAAAGCATGTAGATGCTTACAAGAGGATCATTAGGCTATTTGGCACTACAAGATACCGGAATGTAATGGATATGAATGCAGGCCTTGGAGGATTTGCGGCAGCACTTGAATCACCAAGATCATGGGTGATGAATGTTGTGCCAACTATTGCTCAGAACACTTTAGGCGTTATCTATGAGAGAGGTCTAATTGGTATATATCATGACTGGTACGTCCTGCTAGATTTTCTCTATTCCTGATATTAAAAGTAGGCTAGTTTCACATGCTTTTCCTCTGCCATTTTGATCTTGGACCGTATTGTTTAGCACGTTGGAGTAGTCAAATACCTTTCTTCTTTGATATGTTTTTGTTATGTGGTTAAGGATAAATGCGGCATATATTGTGTTACATGTTTCACACAGTTTTGCTACCTGAGGATGTTTTTTCCCTGTTATTCAACGTGGGACTGATGGGGGCTAATTTATGATTTTCCTATATCTGAATTGCAAGTTTGTGAGGCTGCTTTTGCTTTGGTAAAGATGTCTGGAAATATGGAAAAGGCTCTTATCACATTTATTTTGTTCACGATATCAAAAATAACCTAAGAAATAGTTCAAGTTGATCCTGTTCTACTTCTATTTCTCATGTCACAGTGGGTTCTGAAGATGGAATTTTAGTTTGTGGAATCTCGTTGGATTCTTCATTTTGTAATCTTAATGAAATTTGTGCTTCCTGTGTTTTTTCAGGTGTGAAGGCTTCTCTACTTACCCAAGGACCTATGACCTCATTCATGCCAGTGGTATGTTCAGCTTGTACCAGAACACGTAAGCTTCTTGTTCCTCAACTCAAATGTCATATAGTGGAAGCTGACCATTTTTACATCATAGATTGGAAATTTTCTGGAACCAAACTCCATTAGCAACAGTTTTAGTTTCCGGAAAGTACCAGAATTGCATTAAGGGAGAAGCTTCAAGCCACTAAAGAAAGCCATTAAACTCTACAAATTTAATTTGCTTTCCTGAAGTTGCATTTTTGCTCAAAATATTTTTGTAAAAGTTTCTATCGTCTATTCCTGGATAAAATGTGAAAAACAAACCGCCATAACCCTAATTTGATAGGTCAAACTTTTTGTTTGGAAATTTTTCGACCAAGTTTTGTGGGTTTTCTACATCATCACCAAAATGATCTTATTTTTGTAAATTCTAATTTTGTATAGTTCTTTAATATCTGTCCCAATAAAGTTAAGCGATATGTTATACAAATACTGTGAATCACCAGAGGTTTAAGGACTAAAACAAAGCGACAATATGTTTTTAACTTTTGCTGTGGTCTGTGTTAGAAATTTTAGGTATTCACGACTTCTCAAGTCTTATAACATCTCTGTGACTAAACAGGTGTGAATTAGAAGATATCCTTCTAGAGATGGATCGTATTTTGCGACCTGAAGGTACAGTCATTTTCCGAGATGGGGTTGACATCCTAAACCGAGTGAGGAAAGTTACTAGAGGCATGAGATGGGAGACAAAAATTATGGATCACGAAGACGGCCCCCTAGTACCTGAGAAGATACTAATTGCTGTCAAACAATATTGGGTAGGCAGCAGTGGGAACAGTACATCTGCTGTTGAATAAACCATGACATTGTATGGGAAGTGAGTACAATTACTTCATGTTGGAAATTTATCTGTCCCGGGTGCGATAAAAAGATTTCGATCCCTCAAAGGTGTTTATTTAAGTTTATTCATGAACTGTCATTGTTGACGTAATGCAGTTACAAATTTTATTCTAGACAGTGTTCCTGGATATAAGTCTGGAGAAAATGGCAAAAACAAGGCCCTTCTCTCCCAGTTAATCAAGCAAAGGACTTTTAATGGTGGTAGTAATAAGCAACTGGTGATATTCTTTTGTTTTTGATTGTGTACAAGGTGGATATTTTAGCTGTGCTTTAGTGCCTTGAAAGGTCTCTTTTTATTCAGTCCTCTTTTTCTTGTTCCTTGTTTTGTTATTAGATACTATGTGGCAAATTGTTCTCTATATTATCAAGTAGCATGACTATCCATAATTGGCATGTCAGACTCTCTAAGATTGGGGACTGTTATGGTACCAAAATATACTTTTGGAAATTGTACCTCTACATTATAGTCAATGAAAACACGCCACGTGTGCATTTTTTGTTATTTTGTTATTATTATTTTTTCAATCAATGACGGTAAATCATCTAATTCGAAATCAATAGTCCAAAGTAAATAAACATATTATTTGTTTCAATTTTAATATGATGTAATTTTAACTTGATACAAAATAACACGGCTCTAATATGATTCAAATCCAAAATAATACAATTTGAACGACTTTAGAGCGCATGTCCTGTAGTTTCTTAGCTTTAAAAAAAGCCTACACTTGTAGATTTTTAGTAGGCTCGGGAGAGAGAGTTTACTCAAGCAATAGCAGTAAGTATAGTAGAAGCGAGTTTGAACTACCACGAAAGTAAGTAAGCAAGGAATGTGTGATCAAGGTTGTCGCAATGTGGTTCGGAAGCTTCCAATGATTGAGGGGGCCTCCTCATCCCGATCAAAGTTGAGAACCATGGTTGGTATTTCATATGGTCTTCTACTTTGACTGACCCCATTGTCCTTTGACAGTTTGTTTATGTCTGGAATGGCTGTTGGAACATTTCCCCTTACAACCAAACAGAAAAAATTGTATACATTCTCCCACCATTAATGGCGAAGAGTCTTTCCCCTTTGTCAACCAAACCAGCAGCATCTCACGTGCTAACGACAACTACTACTTGTTTTAGAAGATGAAATTACACTCGTTTCTCTACAGGTGATAATATATTATGTTTAGGGGGTTAATCGAGATAAATTATTTGAATTTGGTTTAGATAAAATTCGGCTCGAGTTTGACTCGTACTCTAAACGAGTTAAGTTAGAATAATTTTTTAGGCTAGTTTATATATAAAATAATCGAACTCAAGTTCTAAACAAGCCTAACTTGAACAATATTTTAGGCTCATTTAAAAAATAAACTTGTTAGGCTCGGGTTAAACTCGTAAACCTCGACTCAATTAACACCCTTAATTATGTTAACTCTAAGGTGCGACTCTAGTGGTAATAGAAACAAACTGTAAGTTCAGACGTTTTAAATTCAAATTTTAACAATTTTTTTGGCCTAAGTTATGAAACAATTATTACTCATGAATACTTTACTCCCGGTATGGATGACCTGTCTTTGATTGGACTGGAGAGATAATTAGTCGAAGTGCACATAAATTAATCCGGACACCACATATTATTTATTTTTTAAATGAGATTAATATTAAACTTATACACGATTACAATATGTCAATTTGAATGGTGGGTGGTGTTAGTGCTTTGGACGTTTTTTTGAATTAAAAAAACACATCTATGTATGAAATCATGATAATATATTAAAAAGAAAATTCGGCTTCCCGCAGTCCTAATCCCCGTTTGCCGACTCTCGGCCGTCCCAGATTACTTGGCATATTTGATGTTCTGACACGTGTCCATGTATAAGTGGCTCCTTAATTTGTATGTTTCAAATTAAAGTATTTCCTATTTAACAAACTGAAAACTGTAGAGTTTGGGTGAGTGTGGAAGTCATGGCCTGTGTCTTTGCCCGTTAACCCATGGGGCAATGGGTAGAATTGACCCGCAATGCCATATCATTATAGTCCAGTGAGTAGAATCGTGGATCAATGGTTTTGCCCCGTCAAGTTTGATGTACTTGTTCTGATGGCTATGCTAGTGCTAGGTGTGCAACTCGGGGGTTGGACTGGTTGAAAGGTTAAACCTACTTTAACCTTAAGTATATAATTCACAATTCTTCTTAACTCTAACCTTAATTTAACTCGAAATATTTAATCTGAGTATTGTCCAAGTTTAATTCGGGTAGACTTGGGTTGAATTCGGATTACGTAATTCAAACAAATTTCAGGTTAAAATTCGAATTCAGTTCGAATTACGTAATTCAGGTTAGAATTTGAGTTGAGTTCATCGAGTTTGAAATCTGTCTGTTGTTTTAAACTTGGTACATACTATATAGTATTTACCTAAAATAACAATAAATAATTTCAATCAAATGTTTAACATAAAAAATATAGTATTTAAAACATAAAAATTAATGTTTAACATAAAGACACAATAACTAAATGTTTAACAAAAGACTGAACTAGAAGATTAATCTCTAGTGTTTTAACTCATAAGATTTATTGTTTTATATATTTATTTTAAATAAGTTTGAGTTGAGCCAATTTAAATATTCGGGTTGAGCCGATTTAAATATTCGGGTTGAACCCAGTAACCCGAAACTTAAATCTGAATATTACCCAAATTTAATTCGGGTCGGTGTTTTTTTGTCCTAAGTCCAACTTAAATATTAAAAACTTCAACTCAAGTCTTGTTTTTCCGAGTTTGAATTCAGATTGGCCCGCCCAAATTATACCCCTAGCTAGTTCCCTGCCAAAATTCAAATAATAAACTTAAAAATATAAATTCATTAGGACTGATTTAATAAACATACCATGGTTGTTGAATTAAGACCCAATATGCAAATATGGACCGTTTGTTGATGGTCCGGATTGTCCGAGTATCTTTGACTCTGAGATTTTCCGATACCCATCTTAGCTAGACCCGTGATATTTAAGTACCGATAGACAATGCTATATTTAGTACATAAACATTTTTTGGAAATTAAATTTTATAAATAATTACGAGTTAATCTTGATTTCAACCATAATTACCGTTTTTTTTTTTTTGCAAATTAAAAAAAGGCCCATTTGGCTTTGTGGGTCAGCATTTCACGAGGAGGAAGGGAAGAGAAGTGTCATCCACCTGGCAAAGCCATAAGTTGCTGGGGATCACAATTCAAGTAAAATGACGTCACAGGTCGATCTGATATGAGCGCCCTATCTCTTGACAATTAACACCACCAAATTGACGCTATTACCCCCTCAACACCCGTCCCCAACGCCCAAAAAAAAAAAAAAAATCAATGACACTTGCATTTGGTATATGAAAATAGATCACGGGAATGCAAAATTCATTTTTATTATTATAGAAATATAGGATTAGTTATTCCTAAATATAGAGTAATATTATCCATAATTAGGGGTGTTTACCCTATCCTACCCTACTGGTAGGAAATATAGTCTTTCGTCTTTCTACTTAATATTTTGTGGAAGAATTTTTTTCTTAACCTGTCCTACCCGATTAATCAGGTAGGAAGTCGAGTAGAAAATCGGATAAACACTTTTATAACTATTAATTTTTGGATTATTTTAACAATTCAATTAAATAATATGCACAAATTTAATAACACAATAAATCAATAATACTAAAACTTAAAACAATTACAACAACAATTACAATAAAATATAAGAAAGTATGAACATCAATTTATCATAATTGTTATACAAATACAATAACAATTATTTTAAGTTTAAACCATATAAAACACATTAAAATCATAACTACTTTAATAGATCACCAGTTCATCACAAATTATATCACCTACAAAAAAAACAAATCCATGTTTTTGCAACTGAAACATTCACAATATTTATAATATAAATTATACCACACACAATACTCTTATAATTGCTAAAAAAATCATAAAAAATTTAAATGTATTTTTTGCGGGTAGGGTAGGAATGCGAAAATTGATGAATTATTCCTCATTCCTACCCGATTTAATCATAAGACCAAATTTTTTTTCACATTTCTATCCAATTTTTGTGGCTAGTCGTTCAGTAGGGTCGAATAAAGTAGAAAATTGCGATCAATTAGAAATTTGAAAACCCTCTATCCATAATTATCATGCTGCTTAATGATAAGTTTAAATTCATTGAGACCAAAAACACCTAACCTCCCATCCCCGATCGTTACAATTATCTCTATTATTACCATTATCACCACCACCCTAATCCCACTTTCGCCATTACTATGGTCATCATTATCACCACAACAACAGAATCCTTTGAATCCCGTGTTTGTGGTCCAGAGTTCACGTCAAGTGTAAAGGTTTTTAGGTCTAAGTCTAAGGCCGGTAATTAGAGTCTAAGTTCTAGTTCTAGTTCCGGTAAAACGTAATAAGATATTGAATTGAAAACTATCAAAGTATAATTTAGCCTTTGTTGTATTACAAACAAGTGTTTGATTGCTACTTTGTTACAAACTAAAATTTATGGTCATAAAGCACTAATAGTAATATTTTGGTGTGATATATAAAATCTCTATCTTAACTTATCTGAATTTGATATTAAAAATCACTTTATATTAAATTTTTATCTCACCCAATTTTGATATTACTAAAAACCATCTACTAATAGGTTCACTTATTTTTCTTATATTTCAAACAAGTAATTACATGATAGGGTTAGTGAAACTTGTAGAATTTAATTAGATGGCATAATATATTTTATTTAAAAAAAATCAAATTTTTAAAATTTTTTTAAATAAAGAAGAATAACTTATTGAGCAGTCTCTACATTAATTATTTCGATTTATAAAATAGGACGAGTATAAAGATAAGGGTACAATACCACCAAAATTGTTTTGATTAATTTGTTATTATTGCTTGCAAAAATAATAAAATAATATAATAAAAAAGATATATATAAAAAGGACGAGATTGTCATTTCAGAATCCAAGCAACACCGTGTAGTAAAAACACGAGCGCCCGCATCAACAGTCATCTGGCGATATCTGAGAAATCAAAAAGCGTTCTGACCTTTTCCGTCCACTTTGCAATTCCAGACCGTCCTCTCTCTCTCTCTCTCTCTCTAAATCGTTTAGGCCTGAAATTTGAAGCTCTAAGTATCTCCCAAGCCTGTAAGTTCCTCAATTTATGTCTGTAATTTTCCGAATCTCTCAAATTTTTTTTTTTCTAAAATAGGAACCAGTTCAGGTGATTAACTGCTAATTATTTTATAATCGAATGATTCGTAGTTTTTCTTTTCAAATTTCAATTCACTTTCAGTTTTTTTTATCGAATCTGAACTCATTTCATGGGGAATTCCTATGCATTGCATGGTCCTTGCACTATCAGATCATAATACAATTAAAGTTCCACTTAATGATGCCAGACTCGGTAGTGACCAGCTGTTTGTTTCTTTATCTCGCTGGATTCTCTGTTCGCAACAAAATTCACCTCGAGCTTCTAGAGGAAGAAATGAAAGATGGAATTATTAGATACTAGCTGTCTGTAATTTTTCGTCAAAACAAAAGGAGCCCTAAATTTTCTGTATTTTTCTTTATACATATTATGCTTGGGGTATTTATTTATGCCTAATCGTGGGTATTTGTTGCAGAAAATTGAGGGGTTGGTGAGTTAGAAGAGATTTGGTAAGTGTTGGGATAAAAGGGTCTTGAAGGAGAGATTGGTTGTGGAAAATGGCGTGTAGGGGGTTTTTGGAGTGCCTATTGAAGCTCCTGAACTTTTTGTTGACTCTTGTGGGTCTGGCCATGGTGGGTTATGGGATCTACCTGTTTGTGGAGTTCAAAAGTGCATCTTCTGATGATACAACTCCGGCACCATCAAGTGAGGGGTTTGTGCAGCTTGGTCGGCCCATGCTTATGGTCTTGTCTCTTTCAAGCAGCAGCATTTTCGATAACCTACCCAAAGCTTGGTATCATTCCTATTTTTCTGAAATTAGTCTGGGTTATTGTTAGTTGGGTTGATCCTGATTCCTAAATCCTAATGTATAACTATTTTTATAGTTAATTGTTGAATTTGATTTCCAATGGGGCTGGGTTTTCGTGCTTAGATTCTTTAGTTGTTGAGTTAAGCACTCTTCTATGCTGCATTCGATTGCTGAAAAGAGGATCATCCGTATTTGTGAAAACTAGGAAAACAATAATGTTGTGGTTGTCTTGTTATTCACTCCTTGTAGAAAATTGGTTTAAACTTTGTTCTTTTTAGGGATTTAAAAAGGTTGATGTCTTAGAATTTCACTTCAAGCAAAAGACCAATTAGAAACCCTATTGTATTAGACCATCTACAGACCTTACCCAAATTTGAGTTAAAAAAAGGGATAAGAAGCTTGATTTGATATAGACCTTTTTAATGGACAAATTCTTTTTTGTACTCAAATCTTTTTAAAAAATTACCTTGTTATCCCAATAGCTCTTTTTTAACACGAAATATGTATAGATGTATACATTTTTTTCGTAATTTATAGATTCCTATATGTACTATGATTGTAACAAAAGAAGAGAGAGAGTGTGTGTGTGTTTACTTGAAGAGTGGTTCACCGACAAATACAAAGTTAAAGCTGCGTGGAAAGAAGAGAGCATATTTTTTAGTGTTAAATTTTTGGGTCTAAGTTTTGAGTTTCTTGATTTGGGTTTAAAATAGGGTCTCCCTTCATTTGGTATAGGTTTGAGTATAAGACTGAAGAAAGTTTTTGACCTCGTTTTACCCTAATTTAAATTTGAGTCTAGAAAAGGGTAAGGATTGAAGATACTCTTAGGAGACAACCTATTTTGGGTCTATAAGTATATTATATAGACCATTTAGTTTCTCTTGGGGATTTTGGCCCCCAATTTTGGGCATTTATGTTTGGTTTTATTTGTTGATTAAAGAATTTTGTGTAATCTTCCTTTGTTTATAGTGAAACTTTGTTGTTGCGTTTCGCCCGTGGACGTAAACTTTTGAGCCGATCCACGTAAATTTGTGTTATGTATTTTTTTTTTTCTGTTTATTTGTTTGTGGCTTTTGTTTCATAACAAATTGGTATGAAAACTTTGGTTTTGGGATGACTACAATAAAATTCAAAGTAAAAAATTTTTGGTAATTTGAACAATTTTAGTCTACGACAGATCTAGATACATGACATTGCAATGACTGAATTGTTTGACGAAAATTCTTTATGTGATACTTAATCAACGTTGATGGAGATTCAATTAGTTTGCTATTATAAAGAAGACAATTGAGCAAGTTCACTTTTGTTTTGATGGTTTGGTGAACAAACAAGTCAAGGTGGAAATTTCTTATGAATATTTGTGATATTTGTATTCCTTCACGGCCACGGGATTTGTGGACAAGGTAGTTAATTCGTTTGCTTTTGTTTTGATGGCCTGATGGAAATATGGAATACAAGTCAAGGTGGAAATTTGTTGTAAGTGTCTTGTATTTCACTCATAGTAGGAAACTGGTTTGAACTTTGTTCTCTTTAGGAATTTAGAAAGGTGGATGTCTTGGAATTCCACTTCAAGTAAAAGATCAATCAGAAACCCTATTATATTGAAGTTAAAGTATTTTGAATCTATAAATAGAGTATAGACCATTTAGTTTCTCTTGGGGATTTTGGCCCTCAATTTTGGACATCCACGTTTGGTTCTATTCTCTTGAATAGAGAATTTTGTATAATCTCCCTTTGTTGATAGTAAAATTTTGTCGCTGCGCTTCATCTGTGGACGTAGGATTTTGAGTTGATCTATGTAAATTTATATTCTGTATTTTTCTATTTCATTCGGTTTGTTGATGTACTACCCAATGTTACCTGGATCGTGGGTTGCTTTGGTACGTGGTACGGGTACATAGTACGACACTTTCTTAGATATGCAATACGATGAGGGTAGATTTAGATGGTACAGTATTTTGGGTCGCAATTCGTTTTGGAAGTCTTATATAGATCGTTTTCACTAATATATAACATTATATATTACAGAACATTCATAAACACTAAGTTAGTTACCATTTATCTTATAGTGGTGTTTGATTTTCTATTATCTAAAACAATAAATATTTATAAATATACATGTAGTTAATTAATATGTATTTTATATTTATGCTACATGTTTTAAAGTGAATTGATTTAAGATTAGTATTACAATTTGGGGTCGTCTATTTTGGTAATCTGGATCGCGAACCCATCTCGTTAGGATCGATGTACCCAGTTTGTAGGTCGTTAAGGGTTTAGTGAATTGTGATAACAATGCTACCCTTTGATGACACTAGCATCTGTATCCACTAACCTTCTAATGTTATATACCTTGAGTGAGTTTGCCACCAATCTACTCAAAATTGTTGCTGAGTACCATATCCTTAACAATTTCCATGGTAGGGCTTTGTTCACAAACATCAGTTTTACATTTTCTTTTATGGGCTTTATCAATAAACATGAATATACTCATCAGCTAATCTTGTAGATTGTGAAATGAAAACTTCAGTCAACAACACGATGCACGAGTCATCCCTTATAGCAGTAGAAGAAAATCTCTGTTTTTTCCGTTCTACTTGCAACCGAGGCGGGATCTTTCTTTCTTTCTTCCTGAGATAACTGGATAAGTATCAGGGCTGGAATCTTGTGCAGACATTAATCAATTTATAGATAAATTGAAGGGGAACTAACTTCAATATCGGAAGTCTGGAACTACATTACCCCTTTCCCCCTTATAAAACCTCATAAGATACTTGACAATACAAGTGTCATTCATTCATGTGTTTGGATTTGGAATTTGGGTATTGCTAAAGAACCACCATCTATGGTATTTTTAGTATACTTAAATTCATGTATGCTAGGAATGTGAGATTACACCCCTTAGGTTGGAATTAGATCCCCTTTTCTCTTTGAAATTCTCATGCTTGTAGGAATGGGATTTCTACTTGCAACAGTGCATATCAAACATAGGAATTATACAAAAAATTGCAATGAGATTCTCATTGCTGCATTTGTATTTTATAATCCAAACTGGCTTAATGGTGATTCGATTCGAATATTCTTTACTAATGATGGAAAGTCTGTCCATTCTCATTTTGTGTATTTAGTATTGCTTTCTTTAGAAAGTTGAATTATAAGAAGGATCTCTTTTTGTGAGACCGAGGGAGTAAGCACTTTTGTGTGACTTTCATGAGGTTTCGTGTCAATTCCTTCTATTTTCACAGTTTGAGTTTATTTATCTGCTCATAATTTGAATGGTAATTTTAGGAATTTTTTTTTTACAATTTTAGCTACGGTTTTGGGCTTTGCAGGTTTATCTATTTATTTATTGGTATTGGTGTAATGCTCTTCGTTGTATCCTGTTTTGGGTGCATTGGAACAGCAATGAAGAATGGATGCTGCCTGACTTGTGTATCCTACACTTCAATGGTTGTCACAGTGGTTGCTCTTATTTCCATATCACCAGAGTCATGATATCATGGCCTAAATATCTGTCGTTGGTTTTATTTACTTCATTTCTGTCAAGCATTCTCTACTGTTGGTTTTATGTGAGATGAAATCCTTCAAAATTATTAACTCGGATGCTTTGTGATATCATGAGCTTCTTTTCTGCCTCCTCTTCTCTGGTGATGATTGGATTCCTTAAAGCAATGCAGTATTCAGTATTGGTAATCTTATTGATCTTGGTGGAACTGGGATGTGCAGCTTTTATATTCTTTGACAAAAGCTGGAAAGACGTGAGTATTTTACAATAATGTTATGCACATTAAGATGGTATATTTGGTTATCGGATCAGTTGACATTTGCAGGATATTCCAACTGACAAAACTGGGGACTTTGATATGCTATATGAATTTCTGGATGATAACTGGGAAATTGTCAGATGGGTTGCTCTTGGGGCTGTTATTCTGGAGGTAAGCATAAGAGGAAATTCTAACGCCCGTGAGGACTTCTGATTATTTTTTTATTTATCTCAACAGAGTTACACCTGGTGTAAATTGAGAGCTACACTTTCCTCCATAAGTTTCTTGCCCAATCTATGGTTACTTATGGTATAAAGGATCATGTTTTAGTCTCTCTGTCAATATGAATAACACCTTTTACATTGTGATTGTGTCGTGGAAAACTGATTGGTATGACGGGCATGTTGTTGATCTCGCACATTACTTGCGTAACCTGATGTAATGCTGTCTGACCATGGGAATGAGCTCAAGCATCTATCTTTGTGGTTTGTTACCATAGAATAGTATCATTGATATGCCCTCTTGATTGAATTGGTTTATATGTTCTGGCTGCTGGGCTACTGCTCCGGAAGATTTGACTACAAATGTGCATCATATACCTTCTAGGTCTATGGAGGACTTACATTTTAGGATCATTTGTGCTGGCCTCTCATCAATGATATTTATTACGCTTTTTGCCTTTTACTATCCTGGTCAACTAAGGTCCATTCAAAGCATTGTCATCCATGTCCAATTGTCCAAACCTATATCTGGTTGCATTTTCTTTTTTCGTTTCTTTTCTCCTCTGTCTGTTTGTACCTGGTACTTGAGTTGTCTTGGGCTGTTGATTTCAAACTGACTAATTCATAGGCTTACATGTGATGATTAATTATTCTCTGAAGTCTCTGGACTTGTGTGTTATCATCTGATAATAAGACAAATCATATTTTTCATTGTCTCTGGACTTGTACCCATGGTGTTGTAGGTACCTCGTCTGTGAGCTTCTCTGTGTATCTTTTAGTTTTGGACTTAGTGATCCATATTGCTTACATGTGATGGCTGTTCTCTGAATCCTCCCCTACCCCATCACAATAAAGTATAAAAGCATAGTAGTAGGTGGAATTTTAATAATAACCAACCCCATCCATTGGAAAGAAAAAGGTAACACCGAATAGAGGAAAGAGTGAGATGGTTTTTGTTGTTCCCAAGTAGTGAAGACCATTTGCTTGACAAATGAAGTGGGTCAATGGTTGAGCTGTGTACAGAAAAAGCGTCTTAGCTCCTTGAATCAGTCAAAAAATCAGTAAGTCCATCAATTTGTAGTGGACTAGTCTCAGCAGGCCATAAAATAGTCTAGTAGCGGGTGAGGAGAGTCAGTGCTATGGTGGGCACCTTGGTACACAACGCGAAGTAGCTCCGCCAACATAGCTCGAGGTGCACACAATCAACTCAGGAGTAACTTTTGCTTGTCAGAAATATTAGAATCACCTTATTGCACAGAAGTGGTGGACCTTTAAACCTATGGTCAATTGAGACCTAAAAAAACAATGCTTAATTGAGTTGTTTGGTGCATTTTCCTTCTTTTTTTTTGTCTAATGTTTTTTGTTTTACTGATTGCCCTTGGAATTCCAGGCCCTGGTGTTCTTGTTAGCTCTTTTGGTAAGGGCTGCTAATAGGCCAGCAGAGTATGACAGTGATGATGAGTATATAGCTGGCCCAAGGCAACAAATTCAGCAGCCATTGATCAACAGCAGATCTGCAGTTCCAGCCGCAAGTGTACCTGTTGCTGGTACCCTTGATAATCGTCCCGGCAGAAATGATGCTTGGAGTACGCGAATGAGGGAAAAGGTGCAATCTGCCTCTATAAAATGTCTATCTAAGTAATATTCTGGTTGCTTTGTGCAGTAGTAGTCCATCGTCTTGAGGAATTTATTATAGCACGGGAGTTTTGATCAGTGACAGTTACATTGACTTTCCAAGAAGTTCTTAGCGAAACCAACTCTTTCTAATAACCAGGCTGTCTGATTTTGTATTGTTCAATATCTTATGGTTCATTCATAAACTAACTGCATGCTGCTAGATACTTGTATGCCATCGGGTGGCCATATAATTGATGGAGTACCAATTGGGTACCCCTGTTGATAGGATATATCATACCCAAGTGGTAACCATATTGTTTTATTGTATCTTCCAGTGTAGCTTGGATTTCTAACACTTGATGCTTTTTGATTTTTTTCATTTCCTGTATATAAACCAGTATGGGCTTGATACTTCCAAGTTCACATACAACCAGCAAACTGCCACACAGCCAGCCGAGGAAAGGAGTCGGTGCACCATCATGTGATAATCTTCGTGGTTTTGCTCAAGTGTGAAATTGGGTCCAGTTCTGGAAACTGACTCTCTCATCAGCTGGTGTGAGAACTTTGTTGTATGGTCAGATTACAGTAGATCTGCGTTTCTGTTAAAAGAGTTTGTGTACAAAACACAATCTTCAGGAGCTTTACTTATTTTCTACTGCCCACTCTGATTTCTTCTTTGAAAGACATCTCTTCTTTTGGATGTATTACCATTTGGTGTCTAAAATTGTATCCCACGGTTGAGTTCGTTGTGGACTTGTGGATGGTGGTTGCGGTGGTTGGGATTTTGTACAACGAAAGAAAGAACCAGTGAGTTTGCTTAATCCTTACAGTAAAAGTTCAGCTGTAGGTTGTTAGTTCACTGTGTCTTATTCAAGTTGTGTCTTATGTTTTGCTAATGCTTATGCTTGTATTCTGATCAGTGGCTTGTGATTCATATAATAGCATAACTACATTTTGTGTAGTCAATGCTTGATAGTTGAGACGAGGTTCAATTGAGTTGAGTTATATTCCGTGCCTTGTTGCAGTATGAAACTTGTTGACGCGACCTGTTTATCACAAGTCGTCTTGATTAGAAAACATCGTTTGAGGGGATGTATGGCGTCGAAAATCCCAAATTGGAAAGGATTAAAAGGCAAACTATTAGTGGTTGATTGGGATTTGGAGAGGGTTTCGTGCTTTTTAGTTGCGGTCATATTCAACTTATAAGTGGAAGTGGCCTACTTGTATGTAGTTGTGCAATCTTTCATTCTCTCTTGTTCCTTTGTTCCCCTTCTGACTTTTAACCTATGATGTCGAATTACAATGTGCGTCTTGTTAACAGTAGTAGTCATAAGAACGTACATGCATGTACACGAACTTAATGTAGATGCATGACTCATCGTGAACAATCGATCATATGCCGTAACTTTAGTCACACCGAGTTAAAAAATAAATATTTTTACTAATCGGGTTTGATGAGTTAACTTGTTTATCGCCCAAGTTAGTTGATATTGAATTTACATCGAGTTCTTTTCTGTGGATCTTACCACTCATGTTGAGGTTAAACTACCCAAATTTTTTTTTTTTTCGCATTTTTACCCAATAAATTATTTGTTAATTGAATGTTGAGGTGATAAATCGGTGTTAAGAAGTACCACTTGATTCCTCGTGATCCAACCTCTTGATAAATCTGACGTGTTTGTCACTGTTGCATTAAATATTTTCTCATTGATTGATTGGGTGTTGGGGGATTGTATGCCTGTCAAGACAGGAAACTGATTTGTTTAGTGAGTTATATATAATGGGTGACTCACCACTATGTTAAAAGGTTACAATTCTTCTCAACCAGCTTTGCCCTCTATATAATTATACCTATTTACACTTTAATATTCGGATGCATCCTCGATGTATAGAAAGCAAAGTTTGATTATGATACCCAAAAAAAAATTTCATACTGTACCACTTCACATGTTATTCCTGGAGTCAAATGTAAATCCAAGCTGTGTACCTTTGAATGAGTGGGGCATATGGTTGATAATCGAACCGACTTTTTACGAGTTTGAGTCGAGCTCATTTTTTTAAACAAGTTTAAAAAATTATTAAAGCTCAATTCGTTTTAAAAACGAGTCGAATCTCACACAAGTTGAATTCGAATAGTTTGACTATTTTATATATAAACGGGTTGAGCTTTGCGAGCTTGATTTGAATCTTTTAGACTTATTTTTTTAAATAGGTTTAAAAAATTGTTCAAGATTAATTTGAACATGAATTGAACTCGAGTCAGACTTTATTCAAACTAAACCCGAATATGTTAGTTCAATTATC